AGTCTTTACTTGCAGATTAGAACTCACTTAAATAGTTATTTAGTATAATTTTGCAAGAAAAAGTTTTAGAATTTTTGTCATTTGTGACCCTGGAGCACAAAAGCAGTCTTAAGTCGCTGGGGTATATTTGTAGCAATAGCCAAAAATACATTGTATGGGTCAAAATTATAGATTTTTCTTTTATGCCAAAAATCATTAGGATATTAAGTAAAGATCATGTTCCATGAAAATATTTTGTAAATTTCCTACTGTAAATATATTAAAACTTATATAATAAGTAATATTCATTGCATTGCTAAGAACTTCATTTGGACAACTTTAAAGGCGATTTTCTCAATATTTTGATTTTTTTGCACCCTCAGATTCCAGATTTTCAAATAGTTGTATCTCAACCAAATATCGTCCTGTCCTAACAAACCATACATCAGTGGAAATCTTATTTAGTCAGCTTTCAGATGATGTATAAATCTCAATTTCGAAAAATTTACCCTTATGGGGTCACAAATGTTTCTTGATCGACAAATCAGCATATTAGAATGATATCTGAAGGATCATGTGACACTGAAGACTGGAGAAATTATGCTGAAAATTCAGCTTTGATCACAGCAATCAATTAAACTTTAAAATATATTGCAATGAAAGACAGTTATTTTAAATTGTAAAAATATTTCACAATATTGCTGTTTTACTGTATTTTTTTAACTAATAAATGCAGCCTTGGTGAGTAGAAGAGACCCCAAACTTTTGAATGGTAGAGTATTTCACAAAGGCAAATGCATGCTGCCTCTCTATTTAATTAAAGGCACTATAAAGTTCAGATCAGTGGAAAAAAACAGTGCTAGAGTGTCCTGGTATGTGTGATCATAGCAGCTGAATTCCCATTTAAGGGCAGGATAAACCCCTGTATGTGTGTTAAACTCACCCGCCCATAGAAACCCCAGCCGCCATGAGCGGAGCTTTGTCAATGGTCCACTGGACATGTTCAATGACCACCTCCAGATCCTCTGTGTTCGCTGCACAGTAAGTCCTAGGCGTCTAGAGCACAGGATATATACTCATAAGAGAGAGAGAAAGAGCTCTTCCACACAAACACACCAAAGCTCATATCATCCTTATATATACTCAGGGAATCTTACAGTCTTAGTACATGAATGTGGTTTATATAAAGTCTACAGTATGAACGTTATCTCGAAGTGTTATCTTAGTTTGCAACTTTGCACTGTATGCACTTGCACTGATATATTATAATATAAACTCATAAACTTAATTTCATTTTAATTGAAAAGCATTTGTTGAAACTTCAGAAAAGAGTTTGATATTTTATTTGAAATAATGGGATGCAAAATATGTTATGCTATAGCCTTAAATATTATACAAAGTTTGGTGTATTCTCTGCCAAATTTTGTATTGAATTTTGTATACCTTAATCAACTTTATTAAGGTATGATAATATAAGGTAAAAAGTGAAATATGAAGTATTAAGGCATTAATAAAGATATTTCATCTCAAGCATATTAATGAGATTTACTGATTTTTTAAAGTGGTGTGCTGAGGGTCTCTGGCTAAACTTATTTCAATTGAATACAAACATTTTGTGTGCTTTAAGTACTACATATAAAAAAATTATATTATGTAATTAATATTAATTAATTAATATATTATGTATATTTCTTACCATTATTTTAAATAAATAAATATATATATATCATGAGTCAGAGAAAAGGATTTATCGACAGGCTCTTGTATACAAGGCTTGTTCGCACAACAAATATTACATAACTTTAATTCGAATGACTCAAGCTCCATATATTTGGTAATATTCATGCTGACAGAAGTGTGTCACCTGTGCCAGAGCTCAACGTAACAATGTTTTGGTTTAAGTTAAACAAAGAAAGCTGAACAAAACACAGAGGAGATAAAAGATTCTCCTTACCAGTAACTTTTCACCCGATACTCCTCTGTTATTGAACACCACGCATCTGAAAAACACAAGAGAGGACTCATAGAAATGGTCCATTTGACAGTTTCCGTCCATAGCTGAATTCTTGATTCTGATTGGTTCTAAAGGCGTCCATTTATTTAAATAAAGTACTTCCAGATTTGTTGACTGTATTATAGTTTTAAATCACTACACCACACTCTTACTGACAAGTTCAAAAAAATAGAAATGGTCTGTATTTCTGAACAAGATATTTCATTAGTAGTTTACGGAAGTACGTCACTCATGTGTACGTCGCTTTGGATAAAAGCGACTTGTAAAGTGATCTGCAAAATGAATAAATGTACAAATGTAAGTGGTTCTTACATTTACACAAGCATTTTAGGGATCACAAACTGAGATAAGCACATTAAATAGACACAGGGCAAACAGATTAATGTACTTGTATTAATGCCCGTCAATAATTCAGCAGTTCAGAGTCAATTCTTCTAATATGAACTTTTAATATTACTTTATATTTACTTTACATTTTAAACTTTGCTGATATTTCCAGGTTTCTTATAACCATGGGAAGCCTACTAATAACAACCAGATTCATTTTACATTGTTTCTGCCCTCTAATGAATAAACACACTCTAAAAACTTCTCTGAAATCACTTATCGTGAGCCTTTTCCTTTAACTGTTATCATTTTCCTATGCCAGCCTAGTCTGGTTGCTCCTGAGGGAAGAGCTGTGTGATGTTTGAAAGCAGGTTTGTTTGTAGTTCTGCTGACCTCGAGTCCACCACAGCATTTCCATCGGGTCAGTTTGTTTGGAGGTCTGGTCATGCTGCCGGGTCAGCTTGAGTTTCTGTCAGATCCTGCCCTGAGGATCAATACTTACACCAATGGTGGTTTTTACACATTGTTACAAGGTTGCTAGGGCTTTGGTGGTTGACAGATGGAAATCAGTTCACTTAGAAATGTAACAGCACACCTCTTCTCAACAAGCTGCATGATTATATCATAAATCTCTTGTTGATGAGTTATGTGCCAAAGAATTAGAGGTTTGTTCTAGTAATAGAGATGCTAGCCTTAACATCCTCTGTATTCACACACATTGACAGTGTTTGTGTCATTAGATTATTCTCAAAGTCATGTCCCTGACCAAATTATATTAATTGTTAATGTGTATAACTGTTGTGAACTCAAATTCTATCATTTCCTTGCACATGGGAGCTTTGAAGAGGGCAATAACCCCCTCACTGCCTGTTTATCACACACGGTACATGTATGTAGTTGATAAGCGCAAGACCAGAGTTATCTGATATAACGTGTAACATGTCACCCTGTACAGCCAAACTACATTCCTCCAGGACCAGTAGAGGCCTTGTCTGACTACTTCTAGGAGCTTTTCTGCTCTCATTCTTCACACAGGTTTTATATAATCTCATAATCAGAACTTTCTTTCATTTAAAGGGATAGTTCACTCAAAAATGAAAACTCTGTTTTTGCTCACCCTCACATTATTCCAAAAGTGTATGCGTTTCTTTCTTCTGTTGAATACAAAAGAAGATATTTTGAAGAATATACACTGTAAAAAATGACCGTGAATTTAACGGTAAAAGACTGTAAAAATGCTACAGTAAAAACCTGTTAAATGGTTAACGGTAAATTCCCCTACTATATACGGTGAAAAACTGTATTGGACATTACATGTATTGGACAATAATTTTACAGTCGTATACCGTTTTTGGAAGTGAAAAAGACTGTATAATTTACAGTGAATAACCGTAAATTGACATTCCCAGAATTCCCTGCATTACATTTCAAATTTGATGTTTTTTTGTTGAAATAACTATGTTTCTTTTTAGTTTTTTCTTATCAGTTTTGTATATTAGGGTTGTGTGTTACACCTAATGTTGTTAAATGAATGTTTATTGCATTATTTCAGTGTTTAGCGTTTGTGTGAATGACACTATGCACCTTCTATACATGTTATTATTTAAAAGCTGCTTGTGATGGGCTTTGGTTCATAATGTGACTTTCTCATCACCACCTGCATTTGGTGGTTATCAGTGTATTACAAAAGTACAAAACAGATTTCAGTACTTCAATAGGTTGGTATATTAACATTATATCAGTTAATGAAAATACGGTATTTAACTGTAAATTTAAGTTAAAACCGTAAAACCTAAAACGTTGCTACCGTATTTTTTACTGTAAAGTTCCGGCAACCATAGCTGCCGTTTTTTTTACCGTAAATTTTACGGAATTTTTTTTACAGTGTAGGGAACCAAACAGTTTCTGGTTCCCACTGACTTCCATAGTATAAAAATACTATTAGAAAATTGGATTCAAAGAGCTTTACGTGTCTTTCTTGTTTAATTGTTACCTTATTTGTATTCAGAAAGTACCTTGTGATTGTATTTGTTGCCCACACCCATTCAGGTGCATGCATTTTAAGTTTTAATGTTTCTGACTACCTGACAGAGACAGAAATGGTTAATGCCATGTTTAAACATATTTTGAGAGCACTGTGGCAGTGTTCTGTCATTTTGCTCTTGTTTAGTAGGCAAGATTTTCTGTATTAAACAATATACTATTAGATTTGTCAAAATATCAGAGGTAAGTGTGCTTTATAATAGCATGAGTGTTATTTTTGTATCATTGATATGCTATTATAGTTTTTATGAATATTCTATTAATATTTTTTCTGTTTTAAAGGGATAGTTCACCCAAAAAAATGAAAATGTTGTCCTTATTTACTCACCAATTGCTTCAAATATTTTTTTTTCTTCTTATGTTGAACAAAAAAAAGGTATTTTGAATAATTTTGGGAACCAAACTGTTGCTGGTAGCCATTGATACATATGTATTTATTAGTCTTAAGTTTAGTTTTCATTATTTTAGTGTTTCAAATTAAATAAGTTAAAAATAAGTTTAAATAAAATGTTAAATTACTATATATATATATATATATATGTGTGTGTGTGTGTGTTATTCTATTTTTAGTTAATGTCTGTTTTTATTTATTAGTTTTTTTATGGTTTTAGTTTTAGTTCTCAATAACAAACCTGTGGTGTCCTGACCTTGTACACAAGGATTGTAATAAATGGTCAACTCTGTTTCTATTCTAAAGGCGTCCCAGAACATAATAATACATATTATTACACAGATCTGTGGAATGCTTGATTTTGATTGGTCAGTCATGGTATTCAGAGGTCAAATATTGTTGTGCAATGACTGCTAAACTGTATAGGAGACCACTGTCTCTGTTTCTTTCTAGTTTCACACCTCTCATATTACTCCGCTGTCTCTTTCTTTTCATAAAAATAAATTTATTGGTCAGTTGTTGTGTAATAAATGCTGCATCGCATCTGCATTGATTTTGACTGCAGATTATCACTTCATTTAGCTTAAGACGCCACAATATAATTTATGTGCACTTTATCTGACAAAATTACAAAAAAGTACTTTAAGTTTTGCTTTTTGCATCGTTTTTTACATCTACTAACATGTGTCACTGCTTGTGTGCTAGTGTACCTTTAGCGGCTGGTGGGCCGTTTTCTGCTGCGGCATGGAACGTTGCTCTTAGCTAAGCTGCAAAGCTGGCCAAAGCTGCAATTAATTAAGCAGAGAACAGGCCAAAGAAAAATGCTGAGTGAGCTGCTGTAGCCCCCACTGCCTCACGCCTCTCGAGGTTTACAAGAATGAGCTCCTGACAGATGCCCAAAAGGAGAGAAAGTGCCCATCTCTGCATCCCTGAAGGCTTTAATACAGAGCTCAGCTGTTTGTTGTCTCTCTCTTTCTCGCTCTCTCTCTCTCTCTCTCTCTCTCTATATATATATATATATATATATATATATATATCTTTCTGTCTACATGGACTGGCAGCTTCAGAAGTGGAGTCTGACAAAGATGTTCCAGGGTTATTGTAAGCACGCATAATGAATGGATCTACAACGCAGCTACACATGTTCTGTCACAGGTGTGGCATAAAGCTTACAAAAGCATCCGTTCAAGCCTTTCTGAATCTTTCAGTACAAAATATGCACAGCTAATGGAAATTATGTTGCTTCTGATGTGCACTACACGTGCAGGTAGAGTTCAAGTTGAAGATGAAGAAGAACACAATTGTGCATTACTGAAACTGAGAAATTGACTCAGGTGCAAAGCTGTTGTAAAATATCTGATATAAGCATACCACACATCAGTTTATCTATATTAATGAGCTTTAAAGAATTACAGACTTACAAAAATGATGTGCAAGTCATAAAAAAGGATGAAAAAGCACCATACTAATATCACAACAAGTATCATAAAAGTAGTCTGTTCAACTTGCTTCTGAAGTCAGTGAGTCATTGTGCCAGTAAGTTTAATTTGACAGCTAAATTCAGCTTTTTTAGAATGGGAGTGGCAGAGGTTTGGCTATTTGGGCTAGTTTTGTTCATGGATCTGGCAACCCTAGATGTGCTATTATTTTTCACTGTGACTGGACTGGAAATTGCTTAATTGTGATGTGTAAATGTGGATTTTTCAGTTCTTAAAATTACTGTATGTTTCCATAGCATAACAAGCATTCTTTGTCAAGAGAACAAGCATGACCCTTTTCTAAATTAAAGGCTGTGAACCAGGCAGCTCACCTGTAGCCCAGATCCCGGCTTTGCTGTACCATATGTAGAATGTAGGATTCGCGGCTTGTGCCCGTCAGTCCCGGGAGCAGCAGCACAGTGGGTCGCGTGGACTGGTCCGGGTGGGACGCGCTCTCATCATTGTCAAACCAATCCAGAGAGATCTGGCCTCCATCTGGTGCTGTAATGAGCTCACTGCCGGACACACAGAACAGCTTGATTTAACATTCAGTGAAACTGTGGAATTGTGTGTTAATACTAGCTTAAGCGCTCATAAATAGTACAAAGAGAGAAACTGTTATAGGAATGTAACTCAACTAACAAAAGTACCATAAAGTACCATGGTAGTACAACGGTTGTATAGCAATCCGTATCACACCACAGCGGCCTCTTAAGCCACTAAAATGTACAGTATGAATGAAATTGGATTGGAAACAAAATAATGTGCTTTGTTCTTATGTGCAAATGCTTTTAAAACAGCTTGTGCTTTTATATGCAAACTAACTTTAATGCTTAAGCATGTATAATAACCCATATCTGAGTTTGAAACTCTATATTTAGAGTGATGGAGATCCTGACTGAAATGATTCTCTAAAAACCTATCAAACTAATCTACTTGTAGCTGACTGAGAGCATAAAATATTTGGTATTTGTAACAAAATATATTAGTAGAATATATATCAATAAAGTATATCAGTAAAATATAACTACTTAAAATGATGTTTGATTAAAAATAATGAATAAATAGAAAGTTGAAATACCGACACATCAGCATTATTGTAAATCACTCCTTTTTGATAACGTGTTAAAAGTAGGGTAGGTGATTTTGCTAGCTTTGAAAGTATAAGATCTCACCCTCCCCGCAAAATCCCTCTCCAGAGCCACGCCTCCTCCAAAACACATGGACGCACACAGGACGGGTGGAACGCGCCGATGACATTTCATGTCTGTGCGAACAGGGTGCACGGAAGTATGCAAATACATACGTTGACAGCCAGGTAGGACAGCCTATCATAGCCCTCAGAACGAGGTATATGATTGGATGAACATTTTATGGTCCTATGCCTTCTTAACTTAGTGATTGTTGTCAGGATGTGACGAGACTTTCAACCAGCATAACAAAAAATATTTTTGAACCAAATCACCTACCCTGCCTTTAAATTAAATGTGGTACAATTTGAGCAATGTGAATTTCAATTGCTACACTGTCTAAAATAATTGTACATAAAACATAGTATAAAATGACTATAGCACACTGATTATACAAACTGAAAAGAAATGACTTTTCAAAATTGTAAATAAAACATTTTTGAAGCATGTTTAACAAGAAACTACTATTTCAGTCTTTATACTTCAAAAATTTCACAAACATTTTAATTCAATGTATTACTTGCTGATAATTGGTAAATATTTGTGAGATTTTGCCATTTCTGAGTGAAAATTGTTTCTACATTTTTTTTTACATTTTATGGCATATTTTAGATAATTATGAATACGTACTACATAATTGTCAGTTTTCAATGGCACATGTTGTTGTTAACATTAGCATCAGTTATCAAAAATCACTAATATATTCCATTTATGGTGGATCTATTAGCACCTTTATGATATATTGCTTACAGTACATGTTATGACATTTGTCAGCTGCTATGTGAATAAATGTAAATGTATAGATATACACTTCCATTCAAAAGTCTGGGGTCAGCAGGGGTGTTGCTAGACACTTTTTTAATGGGGCAGATATTTATGTACAATCCATTGTAAGAGACAAAGAATTCAAATAAATAAAAATATGGGCATACTTTTTTTTTGTTGGGGGGGCCTGTGCCATAGTACTGATTCAAAGCTAGAAACCAGTATTTTTTTTTTTTTTTCCTGAAAATCCAGTAAACATATATGATGTTTTCCACAAAAATGAAGGATGGACTCTTCTGTTGTTTTATTTGGCCTCATCATGACTCTGCTGGTAGTGGCTGAGTCCTCCAGAGACGCTGTGGAGAGAATCTGTGTCAAAGGGCTCTCGTTTTGTCTTACAGCTCTACACTAAAGCCTGCTTTCTCAGCGAGCAGACGACATGCAGAGCTACATGTGTGCGATGTAATTTCAGAGCCATCATTAAATTTTCACTCTAGACCAAGTCTGTCTGCAGTCACTGCCATCAAAAACAGCCTGCACTCTGAATGTGGGAAAGTTTTTTATAGACATGTAAATCCCACCTTTCAAAATGCCAGACAGAGAATGAGAGACCAATCTGGCACGTTTACCAATGACAATCTATCGACTTTCAGAAATATTTCCGCAGAAGAATAAATATAGTGCTTATATCTTTCATCAAATATCTTAGTTTCCAAATATCTTACTTTCTAACAAAATTACTTACTTATGACTAAGGCCAAAATAATGACACTACGTCTGCACGATTTTAGAGGAAAATCAAATTGATATTTAAAAACTAGCTCCAGTTTTGCTGTACTTTTTTTTAGGGCTTCACAATTTGGCCAAAAGTGTTGTGATTATGTATCAAGATAATAATAATAATAATAATAATAATAATAATTTGTTACATTTTTTATTAATAAGCAAAAATATTAAAGAAAATAAAGAAAAAAAATATTATAAAAGCTCCAGTTTTGCTGTACTTTCTGTAGGGCTTCACAATTTGGCCAAAAATGTTGTGATTATGTATCAAGATAAATGAAAATATTAAAGAAAATAGGAAATATTACTATTGCAAAAATATTACAATTAAAATGCAATTAAAAAAGAAGGTTTATTGTATTTTTGAATAATAATAATTATTATTATTGTTAGTATTATTATTATTAATAATTATTATACTTATTATTAATACATGAAAATAGGAAAGAAAATAGGAAATATTACTACTGCATAAATACTTCACTTTATTTTCCAGCACAACTGTAAAATTACATTATATATTTGTTTTAATTCTTTATGTTCAATTGAATTTGTGTCACGATCTCCGTTTTTTTGCTCAGTCACATCTGCACTACAGTTCCCATCATGCTCTTTGATCCACACCTGCACTCAGTTGGTCTTGAATCACACCCAACACCATTCACCTCGTTAACTCACCCTACTTAAGCACACAGCTTACCCTAGTTGTCCGGTCTCGTTTAGAGTTAAGACTGTATTCTCCAGAGTTCCTGTCTCCAGCTTTTCACCTGTGTTCCCATGTCTTCCTGTGTTTGGCATTACCTGGATACTTACCTAAAAGAAGATGAGGTGTGTGCATTCCTGGTACCTCATCTCCACGTCTTTGATCTCTCCAGCACCTGCAAAGACAGTAAACACCAGTTACCTCTCCATCTATACTCTGAATTGCTATCACCTTGGTTTACTTACCTGCATTACTCCATTTGCTCATCACTGCAATTAAACTGAACTGTTGTTGAACTGTCCATCTGTCTAAGTCTGTGATCCGTAACAGAAGACCAGACCTACACTGATCGCAGTACAAGCATTCCTCTCCATCCTGCTGACCTGCTATACTCCCTCTCACAAAATGGCCATCCCCTTGCCAAATATGCAGAGGAATTCTTGGAGCTGGCCTCCTCTGTCTATTTGGAGGATGAATTGCTGATAACGATCTTCCATGGAGGTTTGTATGAACCATTATACTCAATGATGCCCTGGGATACTAACAACTGCTCATTGGAGCAATATATCCCTTATGCACTCTTGCTCAGTCAATCTTCCTCCAGAACACCACATTCTTTCCCTCCAGCCCCTGAGTTCACTGTCCCCTGAGCACAGTCCAGCGTCGGCTCCAGCCCCTGAGTCAGCTCCAGCCCCTGAGTCAGCTCCAGCGTCGGCTCCAGCCCCTGAGTCGGCTCCAGCGTCGGCTCCAGCCCCTGAGTCGGCTCCAGCGTCGGCTCCAGCCCCTGAGTCGGCTCCAGTGTCGGCTCCAGCCCCTGAGTCGGCTCCAGCGTCGGCTCCAGCCCCTGAGTCGGCTCCAGTGTCGGTTCCAGCCCCTGAGTCGGCTCCAGCGTCGGCTCCAGCCCCTGAGTTCGCTGTCCCCTGAGCACAGCCCAGCGTCGGCTGCAGCCCCTGAGCACAGCCCAGCGTCGGCTCCAGCCCCTGAGTCTGCTCCAGCTTCGGCTGCAGCCCCTGAGTCTGCTCCAGCTTCGGCTGCAGCCCCTGAGTAGTCTCGCGTAGCCAGACCTTCAGACTAATGGCAGAAGGTCTAGGAACTGCTGAAGGTCTAGGACCACCCAAAAGGCTATATGACTGACAGGTAAAGCAACCAACCACGTTTCATTTTGTGCCATGTGTTTAGGGGCATGGAAATGTCCCCACAATAACAGACCGGTGTGTAAAACTCTTGGGACGTATTTTAAAGAGTCTATACTGCGAACTTTACATATTTCACATACTTTGAAAATCCAACGTTTAGTTGATCCTGATAAGCGCTCATTGTCACAGTTGTAAACACGACAGCTTTCTTCAAACATGAGTGTTTGGCGACAAGGCATCTTCCAGGTGGAACGTTAAAGAACGCGACACACGTCTCCAGGAAATCCTGTATAATTCAACCAATCAGATGACGACTTCGAAACTCCTAAAGAGTTTCCAATTTTGTGTGCCATATGCATCAGACGTTCTGCCACCGGTGCATGGGCGTGATGTCTGAGGCTGAGACTAGCCCCTGAGCCCGCTCCAGCGTCGGCTCCAGCCCCTGAGCCCGCTCCAGCGTCGGTTTCAGCCCCTGAGCCCGCTCCAGCGTCGGCTCCAACCCCAGAGCACAGTGCAGCGTCGGCTCCAGCCCCAGAGCACAGTGCAGCATCGGCTCCAGCCCCAGAGCTCATCCCAGAGTCTGCTCCAGCCCCAAAGCTCATCCCAGAGTCTACAACGCTGTCTGTAATGGCTCTAGCAATTATTTGTGTTTGGGCCACTTTCTCCCCAGAGCTCAGCCAGGAGCCCGCTGTCACCCCAGTGCTCAGCCAGGTGGCCCTGCTCACCCCAGAACTCACCCGGAGCCCACTTTCACCCTAGAATTCCCCAAGACAATTTGAGGGGGGGGCTACCATGTCCATGTATCTCCAGCGCAATCGTTATCTCCAGTGTTCCAAGTATCTCCGGTGCCCCCTGTGTCTCCAGTATTCCCTGAGTCTCCAGTGCCCCCTGTACCTCCCTGGCCTCCTTTGCTGCCGGCACCTCCTTGGTCTCCTGTAATGCCAGCACCTCCCTGAGCTACCAGCACCTCCTTGGTTCCCTGAGTTACCGGTGCCGTCCTGGAGACACTCTTGTCTGCTGGCACTTCCTTGGTTACTTTCCCAGTACCAGGGCACCCACCCTTCCTCCCCGGTGGTACTCTTCTTGGCACAAGGACGCACCTTCCGGGAGGGGGAGTACTGTCAATATCTCTGGTCTTTTTCTGGGTCACATCTGCACTACAGTTCTCATCATGCTCCTTGATCCACACCTGCACTCAGTCGGCCTTGAACCTTATAATAACCTTATAAGATCCACACCTGACACCATTCACCTTGTTAACTCACCCTACTTAAGCACACAGCTCAGATACCCTAGTTGCCTGGTTAAGACTGTACTCTCCAGAGTTCCTGTCTCCTTCGTTCTCCAGTGTTTCACCTGAGTTCCTGTCTCCAGCGTTTCCTCCTTTGTTCCCGAGTCTCCCTGTGTTTGACATAACCTGGATACTTACCTAAAAGAAGATGAGGTGTGTGCATTCCTGGTACCTAATCTCCATGTCTATGATCTCTCCAGCACCTGCAAAGACAGTAAACACCAGTTACCTCTCCATCTATACTCTGAATTGCTATTACCTTGATTTACTTACCTGCATTACTCCATTTGCTCATCACTGCAATTAAACTGAACTGTTGTTGAACTGTCCATCTAAGTCTGTGATCCGTAATTTTATTAATTTAAGTATTTTGTAACATCAATACTGTTTATTACAAACTTTTAAACAAACTGTAATGTATAAGCACTAAATAAATGTGATATAACTTTTAAAATACTTCAGGAAAAAGTGTGAGTTTTAATGTTTATCAAAGCCTTGCCCAGTAGACTTCTATTGCAAGTGCTGTACAGCAAACACAAATCAAACTACTTGTTTGCGATTATTTAGTCAAAACTACTGTCTGTGACATTCAACAACCTAGATTCCTTTGGTGCCAAGATTTTAGACAATATATCTGAACAGAATGCTCAACTATTGCTGGTATTTGTATTTGATGTTGCTCTATCTCGTTTGGATCTGTACTCCTAGAACACTCTGTTTCCAAAACAGAAGCTCCAATTTCACACCTGACTACATGGCATTGAAGCTCGTCGGCAGTGTCAGAGACGGATGACATCACACACGAGAGCAGTCAGTGAGTCCCAGCATGCATCACACCCTTCCGTCCTAATGGGAATGTGCAGCTGCTGGGACGGTCAAACTCAGACGCCCTTGACTTCAAACACTGTCCTCGATCATTCCATACAGGATCCGTAAGCAGATTTGCTCACTCAGACACATGTGCGTCTCTCACGACTGCTGCATTTTGAAATGGAGGCAACGGATTAACTATTGATTCCAGGTGACGAGTCGAAACCGAGCGGTGGATGCTACTGTTTTTGCGTGCATGCATCTTCTCTGATCACTGAGCAGAAATGCACAGGGGCCGTTTTAGCCTCTAAATTGTTTTAGTGAGAGATACACTGCAGCACTGAATCAGTTTAACCAAATCAATAACTGACAGTTTATACATACTGATAAACATAAACATGCTGCTATTCACCACACAATACACTATTTCACCAACAAACTGAATTAAAGCAAGTGTTGAGAATTTTTTTTTGTCGAAAACAATGTTCAAATCTCGGATGCTTTAACGTTGCGTTGTAACAGAAGTAGCGACAGATTTTTTTCCTGTATTGTGATGGGAAAATTATGATATTTCTTATTATTGAATAAAACTATTAAACTGAATAGAAAATATTATTATGGTAAAAATACAATTTCAATGTAAAATACAAAAAATAACAATAATAATGACTTTATTTTACAGTACAACTGTAACAAGGCTAATATTAATTTCTTCATTTTCAACTGAATTTGTTTCATAATTGAAGAATTTTACAACATTAATACTGCTATTTTCATGTTTATTACTGTGAAGCTGCGTTGAATCAATGTATTGATTGGATGTAGGCAGATCTGAATGCAAGTTCGCAGTCAGTTGTAAGAAAGGGTAAAAAAATTACAAATTTTTTTTTGCAATATGATCAAAAACATACATCTAAAAAATACAATAAATATATAATAAAATATAAAATAGACTATATATTTTCATTTCATGCATCTTTTTTTCGAGTATGCATTTTTAAAAAAGTACTATACATTTCTTTATACGTACTGAATGAATTAGTCAAATGTTTTCTTTCTATAAAACTGAATTATTTTTTTTTCACTTTGGTTATGGGGTGAAATATGACCCTCTATACTTGCCCACTCTCCTTGCATCAGTTCCCATAACATGCAATCATCAGAACAGGAAAGCTGATATAAGCTACACCTTCTCTTTCTCTCTTTATATTGCTGAGAACGGGAGTCCTCTGAACATTAGAGCTACTCTCCTACTGCATCAGACAATCAATGAAATGAATGCTGAAAGAAGCTCTCTGATCATCTACCAAGGGCTCTTTCATATGTTAAAGAAGGCAAAACAAGTCTTCAAGTGGAGAAACGGTGGCAACTTCAGTGTAAATGCGAAACCTGCTTTGATTCTGAATTATCTTACAGCCTAAGGAGACCCAGCTTTCGGCAAAATTAACTTCAGAAGGACACAGACTGCTATTGTTGCTTAACCTTCCTTGCACTTAAATGCTAAATGTAAATAAATGTATGCATTTAGTAGAGGCTTTAAAGCGACTTACAGTGCATTCAGGCTATACATTTTTTATCAGTATGAGTGTTCTCTGGGAATCGAACCCACGACCTTTGTGCTGCTAACGCAATGCTCTACCACTGAGCCACAGGAACATCTTAACATGCACTTCAGGACTGTTAAAGAACACCAATGGCAAATATTGTATGTCTACTTATAATTAATATAGTAGCTACATAAAATAAGTATTCAAATTCAGAGCCTAAACTAACCTGGCACCGTAAACACTTAACAGCCACTTCCTCTGACATTAAGTCTTTGAAATGGTTTGATTTTGAAAGATGCCAGCGTAATTATCATCCGTTACCAATAATTGTGCATTTCGTCGAAAGCATTTATGGGCTTTGTAGAGTTAAACAGCCATCCTGCCACAATCCCAGCACTAAACACATTCTGACTGTGAGGGAAATGCGCTCACTTTCTGTAGTTGACCCAGGGCTTGGCGGTCACGAAGGGTCTGAGCAGCGTTTGCACCCGGCTCTCCCAGCACCAGAACGTGGGGTAGTACGTCTCTGAGACCACGGGGCATTCGTCCCTCAGGAACTGATGTAACTTCTTTCCTCCAGCTATCAGTATGGGTTTCTGCAAAACAAAGAGCAAAGGGATTGGTGATTATCTCAGAAAGCAAAACTGAAACAGTTAAAAAATATTTGTAGAACAGAAATGTATTTATTTATTTTCATAATACTGATACTTAAGAATTGAAACTACTTTTTAGTAAATGTATGATAACAATCATTGTCATAATCATAATATAAAATGCATATTTATTAATTATATTACAATTTTATATGATAAAATAAATGTATTATTATTATAATAAATATAGTATTATAATAACAATCATAATATATAATTATAATAACTATGGTTAATACATAATAAAAAATAATATGAATAAATAATACAAATAATTTTATATCATATTATAAGTATACTGTATTGTTTTATGGTAAAATAAATATATTATTATAATAATAAATATAATATACTATAACAATAACAATAACAATCATAATATATAATTATAATAACTATGGTTAATACATAATAAAAAAATATATTAATAAATAATACAAATAATTTTATATCATATTATAAATATACTGTATTGTTTTATGGTAAAATAAATATATTATTATAATTATTATAATAATATACTATAACAATAACAATAACAATCATAATATATAATTATAATAACTATGGTTAATACATAATAAAAAAATATATTAATAAATAATACAAATAATTTTATATCATATTATAAATATACTGTATTGTTTTATGGTAAAATAAATATATTATTATAATAATAAATATAATATACTATAACAATGACAATAACAA